GTAAAAGCGTTAGATAGCCTAACGCCCAACACCTCAGCTTCAGCCTGCAAACCATCCAGAGAATGGAATGATGATTCAGAACTGTCACATGACTGAAAATCTATTTCCTGAGAATCCAACATAAACTAAAGTATAAATAAATATATATATATATATATATATATATATATATATATATATATATATATATATATATATATATATATATATATATAAATATATCTAAAATAAAATATAAATAAACAAAAAATATGAATAGAATACTTGATTACTTACTAAAAGAGTATTTAAAACAAGAAAGTTCCCAACCCGCCGGTCAACTGTTACAATTTAGTAAAAAAACGTTACACAATATAGTTTGAACAAATTTTGACAAATAAAGAAGCATTTAAAATAAGCAGATAAAAACAGAAGTTAATAATTTTTTTTTAAATTAACAACTTATAGAAAAGCATCGACTACTAACAGTGCGGGATCAAAATAGTTAAAAATGTACCATAACTAGAGGAGTTTCCAAGATTCATAGGTAATAACTAAAAAGAATTGTCAAAGTTATGGCTTGTAAGTAATGAATTGCCTCTCTTTGTGTTACTTGAGCAGAAGTTTATCTACTACTGTCAATGTCAGTACTGTCAGTGTCTTTGCCTCTCCAAACAAAAACAAGTCAAATTAACCTAAAGTATGTGAAATATCAGTGAATTATAACAAAGTTTAACATTTATCTACAAATTGAAATGAATAATAATCAATACCCGGCTAAATTACGAATAAATATTACAATCAAACACAACAATATGAACTTAAGTTGGACGATTTAAAGAATCAAAATAAAAAGTGAACAGTGTCAGAACATTACTTCTTTACCGGGCACCTCAATCTAACATTAGACGATTTGACCTTTCGATCTTCTGCACCCAATTGAGAACCGGCCGCCGTCGTCGTCTCAGCATATGGCACTGTTGGATTCTGTTCTACTAATTTAACCAACTCCTGCCCGTCTCTTACACGGCAAAGTTTGCCAGTGGACAGCTTAATGACAATGTTACCGTTACTTGTCCACACATTACGGATTCCAAAGTGCTTACGAGCTGCTGTAAACGTCTCCTGACGAAGTCGAGTTAAGAACTCTGACACTACTATGGTTGATCCCTTCAGTTTGGTTTTGTTGGTCCAGATAACAGATTTAGTGGCGAGCTCAGCAAAGCGAACGAGAATAGGTCTTGGTCGCTCCAGTGTCCTTGCACCAAGCCTATGACAGACTGTGATACTTGACCTCATAATGTTGTTGAGACCAAGCTTGTTATGGAAGATATCGATGACAGCCGCTGGCAATTATTCACTGTCCCTTTCTTCTACTCCACCAATGAGAAGCGCTTTATTACGGTGTCTAGCTTCAATGTCATCAATATTGCGGATCAAGACCCCTATTTGTTGACGGAGTAATGCCAGTATACCTCCAACCATGTCCTTAAACTGACAATAGTCTGCACTCAGCACCTTAAGTTCAACTGCTGGTGAAGAAGACAAAGAAGAAACCTTTAAATGAGCCTCAAAGGCAGTCATCCGCTGCATGAGTGTCTCCTCAATGGCTTTTTGGGTCTCAAGGACTGTTGTAATGTTAGCCATGGTTAACAGAAAGACTAGTGTTAGTGAGTGAATTCCACTATTGTGCTTTGTGTGATGTTGAAAATAGTCACAGTTAACATAAACGGGCTGGTATGCTCATGCTTCTTCTACAGACATGTAAGAATGATGCCCACACAGTATGTTATTAAATGAACTTTAACACTACTTATGCACTGTAGATAAAGTGATTATTTATAATAAAATAATATTTATTAAAATGCTTTTACTTAGAAGAAGTCTTAACTTTTTAACACCTACCGCCCAAAAAAAATTGCCATTATGGTTATCGGATCACGATACTGCTCAGATTTTGAAGTTTTGTGTACATCGTAAAACTCAAACCCCACACTTTTTTTACACTTATCGTAAATGCTACTCAGTAGAAAATATTAATAAATTCAAGACATTTTTAAGTAGCATTTCGTTTTCAAATGTTTTTAATAAAAAAGATATAAATATTGCATTCAATGAATTCCACGACATTTTCACTCTTTTGTACAATTTGTGTTTTCCAGTAGCAAAACATAAACATAATTCTTCCTTCAAGCTTAAATGGATCTCGAAAGGCCTAAAAATAAATAGCATCGCAAAAAGGAAACTACGTTATAAATGTTACACAAATAAAAATAGTAAGAATAGATGGAGTTATAATAAATATAGTAAATTGTGGGCATACACCCACAATAATTACTTATATTATATAAATATTTTATTACTTTTAAAATATTATATAATATAAATTTCATTATTACAATATCTTATTTATTTATTTTATTAGTAATAGTAACAATATCTGTAAAGCGACGTGGAAGGTTATAAGGAATGAAACTTCTGAAACATTGAACCATAATAGAATATAAATAAAATCATCCATAACAATACTGAAATAACGAATCCAACGACAATTGCATCAATATTTAATAATAATTTTATACATAATAGTACAGTAAATATTGACCAAAAAAATTATTACTCTTTAAATACAGTTTTGCAAAATAGTATATTTCTATCACCAGTAACTGCAAATGAAATAAGCAAAATTATTCTGACATTGAAAAAATCACAGTCAGAAGGTTATGATTCTGTATGCATCAAAGTCTTAAAGCTGTGTAGAAATGCACTATGCAGTTTTTTGATAAACCTGTCTCTACAAACAGGAAAATTTCCCGATAAATTGAAAATGGCAATTGTGAAACCGTTGTTTAAAAAGAGTGACGAATATGACATATGCAATTATCGTCCAATAGCAATATTATGTGTCATATCTAAAATATTTGAAAAGGTCATGTATGAACAACTCACTAATTTCCTCACACAATTTAAAATCATGAAGGACAACCAATACGGTTTCCAAAAAAATAAATCAACAACTCATGCAGCTTTTGACCTAATAAATGAAGTTATGTTAAATGTAAATATGAAATACTATACAACAGTAATATTCCTCGATATGTCTAATGCTTTTGACTGTGTTTTTCATAAAGTACTATTAAAAAAAACTGGAATGTTATGGATTAACGGGTCCTGTATTAAACTGGTTGGATTCCTACTTATCTAACAGAATGCAATTCGTAGAGATACCACAGATTGACAAAAAAACACAATTCAACTTTACAGATCTAAACCAAAACATAATAAATGTGGCGTTCCTCAAGGCAGTGTTCTAGGCCCTTTGTTGTTTTTGCTGTACAGTGGCGGACATTAGCGCTCTTTCACTTCGCATCGATATTTGCATGAACATGCAGTGTTTACTACGCCCCGCCCACATACTCACTACTACCAATAACAATCCACTGTCCCTCAGTGACGTGTGCAAGGATGCGTACTATATACTATATATCTATATATCCTATTGTTTGTAATTGTACGTTTAATCTAATGTTTATTGTAATATGTATTTATGTGATTAATTATTATATTTTAGTGTCCTATGTGCATGCGCCGAATAAATGAATTTGAATTTGAGATGATCATAACTTTATAATTATGGCCAAATACTTAGTTAATATTTATTTTATTAAAGATTTATGTTCGGTGTAATATTACCGAACCGAATGACGTTTGCTTCAGTCAATTAGTTTTTAAGTTAGTATGTACAATTCCGCCGTCGCGTGTACTTATTCCTAACATTTTAACATTAAATATTAACATTTGTAACTTAGTAACATTAAATAACTTTATTACGGTGTAACATAAACTTTTAATTGAACATTCCAACACTGCCCACCCCCGCTCTCCAAACATTGGTCCTTCGAACCTTGGACCTCGCGCGTCGTTTATTCATATCGGGGCAGTGAGGTGTTTGAACTAGTGAACTGTAAACTGTGAGTGAAGGGTGGTGAGTGTTTAAGTAACTTCTGAAGATAATTTTGAACTGCGCGTATCTGTAAGGTACTCGCATTACACAGACAGAAGAAAAAGCAAGTAAGGTCTTTTTACATTATTTTCTTATAACTTCATAACAATGGCATCTGTGGAGTCTCAACAACTGTTAGCTGAAGAGATCGAGAAAAGCTTGAGGAATTTCCGAAAAGATGGAGCCGAAAGAATAGGTAATGTGGAGTATTTCAAAAGGTACTGGAATAAATTGGAAGAACTATGGAACGAATTCCAATTTAATCATGACCAGCTCGTAATGGAGTTGAGTCAAAATGAACCATATTTTGGAGAGAAAATATATGATAGGGTAAAAGATGATTACAATACCCTTAAAAAATTAATAAATGATGGGTATCAACATCTTTTGACAATATCCAATGCAGCGGCGTCGGAAGAAAAACCGGCAGAACCTTCAACGTCCAGGACACAGCAGGGATCTCATAATTTTACAGAAGAAATTAAAAAAAAACAGGGTGGTTATAGTAAACTAGATGAGTCATTGAAAAAACAAGAAGCCAATTTTAGAGCATTTGCTAGAACTGTGGCTAACATTCGAGTAGAACAAATGTCCGATAAATGGGAATTCGAGGATGCACTCAAACTTTTAGAAAATCGTTGGTCTGCAATCGATAGCCTGCACTGGGAGATCGACTGTGAATTGAATGGAAAAAACATATGTTATGAGTCGCTATATGCGAAATAAGAAGATCAGTTTCAAACATTGAAAAAAGATATTAACAAAAAAATGTGGTCTGAAAAACATAGAGAAAAATCTACACCTCAATTAGAAATTGAGGTGTAGATTTCGGGTAGTTGTGCAAAGAAGACATAAAATTTTCTACTCCTGTTTCATAATTAATAAATATTTTTTTTTATTAATAAATCTGAGTCAAAAATAGTATTAAATGTTAGTGTAGATCACAATACCTGCTAGCAATAATAGTTTCCATACTTCCTATAAAACTAGACTTCACTATCGCACATCAACATCAATGATGGAGTCCATCAAGCAAAATATGGCTGAAATGTCTGCAATGTTCAACTCAAGAATGGAACAATTCGAAGCTGATCTTCACAGGAATGCTCCCTCTTCCCAATCTTCTGTTGCTGAGGACTTCGCTGCATTTAGATCATTTGCAATCGCTGCACTGAATTGTCTTCAGAAGCAAGTGGATCTCCTCTCCAGAGGTGCAGAGCGGCAGGAGATGCGAAGCCGACGCAGGATACTCCTTTTACATGGTGTTGTTGAGCAAAAGGATGAGGTTGCTGCTGAGGTGGTTTTAAGGGTTGTCTCTGAGCAATTGAAGATAGTGGGACTTTCACGCCATGACATCAGTCGCGCTCATCGCATTGGACAGCATAGCAATGATAAGCCCAGGCCTATTCTTGTCAAATTTTGTGATGTTGCAATCCGTGACAAGATATGGTTTGCCAAGACGTTGCTCAGGGGGAGTGGGGTCACCCTTAGTGAATTTTTGATACCAGGACGGCATAAGCTTTTTATGGAGGCACGGAAGCGCTTCGGTCTCTCAAAATGTTGGTCTCGCGATGGGAACATATATGTAATGAGTCCAAGTGGCAATAAACTGCGTGTCAACTGCATCGCGGAACTAGACAAAATCCCTGTCTCAGCTTCTACCCCGACAGCCGCCGCCTCCGCCACTTCCACTCAAATTGCTGGCCCAAGCGTTCCCAAGGTCCAGGACAAGACTCGGAGGCGCCTCCCAGCCAAAAAGTAATACCCATCAACCAAATGGTATGGTAAACTTTGCTTCTTCCAACTACTTCCCAACACGCATACAATGAATCGATTGATTAAAGTAGCAATGTTTTGCTTGTTTTATATAATTTTGTGCCGTGATGTGTTTAATTTCATAATTGAGTTCATTTGGTTCGTGAGTGAAACGGAGGTAAGCGTTTATCATTATCCATTTAGATTCTTTGACAAAAACAAAACAAACCAGCTTTGACAACTGTCAACGTCAATACCATAATCATATGTCATTTATCTGTCATTTGTTAAGAAAGGTGGAGACACACTTTTGTGTTGTGCGATGTGTCGGTTTCGAATAGCTGTTACGTTCCGTTTCACTCACATTATCATTATTATTGTGTTAAGTGTTTGTTTCTACTTTTGTTCATGTTTTTTTTTCTTTTTTAATTTTTGTTGCTGGTGGGTAATACTTGCACATTTTTAGGACTTTATTTATTTATTGTTATTATATATTTATATATATTGTAAATTATATTTTTCATCTCTCATGAACGATACCAAAAGTAATATCAGTGATGTCTTTTTATCCCTATCTCCTTCTTCCGATGGATTGGACAGCAATGATAGTTTCTGTAGTATGCTCCCTCTTGTGGATAGTCTCGAAGTCATAACATCTGACGTTGCTAAAAACTTTAACGTAGTACATATTAATGCCCAGAGCATACCGGCTCACTATGCTGATATGCTCGCTTCTCTTTGTGTTAAAAATGTTCATGCTATTCTTATATCTGAGCCTTTTCTCCATCCTTCTCTCCCTTCTTCATCTTACGCTCTACCAGGTTTTAACCTAATACGTAATGATCGTACTAACACGTCTCATGGTGGTGTGGCAATTTATCTTCGTAACCATATTCCTTACACAATTATAAGCCGATCGCCTCAACCACCACCCCCTAATACTGCAGAACACTTATTTCTTGAAATCTTGCTCTCTAACACTAAAGTACTTCTTGGAGTCTATTATAGTCCTTCTCTCAGAATAAATTATTTCCCCTCTTTTGAAAAGCTTCTTGAAGATTTCTGCTCTTCCTACAGTCACTCCATTATTATGGGTGACTTTAACACATGTTTACAAAAAAATAACTTTCGTTCAAAATCTCTGCTAGCTGTTGTAGAAGCTTGTAATATGAATATCCTTCCCCTTAACCCTACTCACTTCTTTCCTAATTCAACACCTTCTCTTTTTGATTTAATTCTAGTTTCCTCTATGAATCATGTAGCTAAACATGGCCAGCTCACTGCTGATGCCTTTTCTTACCACGATTTGATATATCTATCCTACAAAATTCGTACCCCTAAGGCTAAGTCTCGAGTATTGTTGCGGAGGAATTTTGGTAGTATGGACATTGGCAAACTCCGTGCTGATGCCGAGAAGATTGATTGGTCTATTATTGGTAATGCAACATCTGTTGACAACCAAGTGCAACTGCTGAACGACATCTTGATTGGTCTTTTCGACGTGCATGCTCCGGTTCGGTCTATCAAAGTAAAGCATCTTCCGGCGCCTTGGTTAACTGACGACATCAAAACCCTTATGCATAAGAAGAATCGAGCAAAGGCTGCCTTCAAAAGTGCCCCGACTGACCAAAATCGAGACCGATATAATATCATCAGAAATCGCTGCAACAGGGTGTGTAGGGATGCACAAAGGCGCCACATTCATAAATCAGTAGAAAACGGTGATCCAGCCAAAATATGGAAATTTCTTAGGTCCTTGGGAGTGGGTAAGCCAAAAACAGATAAAATTCCAGATAATATTAATGTTGATCTTTTAAATAATCATTTTTCACATCCTTCTTGTCTTGATAGTAAAGTCAAAGAGAAGACCTTATCGCAACTTTCACTATTACCTGCTCCTGATTTTCCAGTTTTTGTTTTTAGTCAGTTTACCGATTGTGATGTTGAGAGAAATATACGAGCTATTGCTTCTTCGGCTGTGGGTGATGACAATATCAGTCGCAATATGATACTCCCTATTCTGGACATTTTAACCCCTATTATTACTGTTATTTTTAATAAATCTATATCATCAGGTATTTTTCCCCACTTATGGAAGGATGCGCTGATAATCCCTCTTCCAAAAAAACCAAACCCCACCTCAGTCTCTGATTTTCGTCCAATCGCCATCCTACCTTTTCTATCCAAAGCTTTGGAGCGTCTTATTTACAGGCAGTTGAATGACTTTCTTGTTCGCAATAAGTTCCTTAATCCTCTCCAATCCGGATTTAAACCTGGACACAGTACCACCACTGCTCTTGTAAAAATCTCTGACGACATTCGAGCGGGTATGGAGGAACAAATGCTCACAGTGTTGACATTGCTAGACTTCAGCAATGCTTTCAGTACTGTTGACTATGATATTTTGTTAGCTATCCTCGGTTCTTTAAACATATCTCCAACGGTAACTGACTGGTTTCGTAGTTATCTACATGGGCGCCGACAGCGCATACGTTTTGATGAATCTCTTTCATCATGGTGTTTGGTGTCTGCCGGCGTACCCCAAGGCGGTGTGCTATCTCCTTTATTATTTGCAATTTTTATTAATTCGATTACTCACAAACTTACTTCTTCCTTCCACCTGTATGCAGATGATCTTCAAATTTATTCCATGGAACGACTGGACCATATAAATAGCGCAATCCTTACTATAAACACCGATTTAGAACGTATTGCTACCTGGAGTAAATCTTTCGGTTTAAAAGTGAACACCGATAAAACTCAAACTATCATCATAGGTAGTGCCTCTTTCGTGGATAGGATAAAGTGGAGTCAGTTGCAATCGGTGATCTTTGAGGGTACTCCGATTCCTTTTTCAAATATAGTGCGTAACCTTGGAGTTTTATTTGACCAAACGCTCTCATGGCGTCCACAGATTGCCGAAGTCAGCAGAAAGATGTTTGCTACAGCCGGGTCCCTTAGGCGTTTACGGAACTTTTTACCCACTGCTACCAAAATATCTATAGCGCAATCCCTTCTTTTGCCTGTCCTTGATTACGCCGATGCGTGCTATCCTGATCTTACTTTTGATCTTTTTGGTAAACTGGAGCGCCTCCAAAACCTTGCCATCCGATTTATTTTCGGGCTCCGTAAATACGATCATGTCTCCGAATTTCGCCAACAACTCCAATGGCTCTCTATTCGGCAACGTAGAGATTTACATATCCTGTCCCTTCTTTACTCTGTGTTGTTCAATCCAAAATGCCCCTTTTATCTAAAACAACGTTTCAAGTTTTTATCGTCCACTCATGACCTACCTCTTCGTTCATCAGACAGTCTTCGCCTCTCGATTCCTCAAAACCGATCAAAATTCTACAGTCAATCGTTTACGTTACACGCGACTCGATTGTGGAATTCTTTGCCCGAAGATATCAGACGTTCACAGTCGCTCTACTCATTCAAATCTAGAGTTTTTGCGCATTTTCTGTCTGGTGGGCATAATTCTTAAAATCTTAATCCTTTATCCTTCCTTTTTATAGCTTGTGGTATCTTCTGCTCATGTTGGCTACTGCGTATTTTACCCATGTATATTTATTTTATTATTTTTTTGTATATGTGTATATGTATGTATATATATTATTATTTGATTTTTTTCATTTTATATATTTAGTTGATGTTTTCCCTAACTTTGTGCGCGACCCACAATCACCTGCCACCAGTATCAATCAAAAGGTTGCCTGGAAGAAATCGCTGTTCAGCGATAAGGCCGCCCATTGCACGAATGTAATTAATTTATTTTATTTTTTTGTTCCTTGCAATGTATTTATTTTTACTTTTTTTGTGCAATAAAGTGTTAAATAAATAAATAATAAATAAATAAATTCCAGTTTTCTACGGAAATTACAACGACTGGATATCGTTCAAGGATCTATTTATGGATGTTATTCATAATAATCCAACATTATCAAATGTGCAAAAATTACAATTCCTAAAATCAAAAATTAAAGGCGAAGCTGAAAGACTCGTGAAACATTTAACAGTTAGTTCAGATAATTATTTAACTTGTTGGGAGATTCTTAATCATAGATTCGACAACAAACGGTTTATATTCACATCTTACATGAATATTTTATTTAACATGCCGAACATACAATATAACAATACAAACCAAATTAAGAGAATGCATGATATAACAAAAGAAACGTTAAACTCTATAAAAAATCTCGGAATAGATGTTTCGACGTGGGACCCTATACTGGTGCACGTTTTGTGTCAAAAATTGGACTCCGAAACTTATTCAAAATATATAGATTCTGTTAAAAATACCAGGGAGCTGCCTATACTACAAGAGCTATTAGATTTTCTCGAGAGCAAGTTTGCTACCTTAGAAACATCTTTTCATAAAAAAACGGAAGCATTTGTTAATCATAAACCTTATAATAATAGAAAACCTACTTATAATTTATCACAAAAAGGAAGCAACAATTACGCAAAAACATTTTACGTATCAAGTTACAAATGTCCATTGTGCAAAAACGATCACGGCATTTATAATTGCAAAACATTTTTACAAATGCATAATGACAAAAAATTTAGCACGGTGAATAAACTCGGAATATGCATTAATTGCTTATTTTCACATAATGGTAATCCGTGCCATTCAACCAAAACATGTCGAAAATGCCCTGGACAACATAACACTATCATGCACGAAGCCCTTGAAAAACCCCATTTCAGTGGAAGGTCACTATCACACACCAGCACACCAGCTCCCAAAACCGTGAAACAATCTGGAGAAAACGTCACAAGTATGACGTCACACTTAGCTCGAGACGATTATTCTGAAATATTATTAGCTACTGCGCAACTAAAAGTCTTAAGCGCCAATGCCACATGTGATGTATCAATAAAGTGTAAGCGGCGCGTGAGCGTACGCGCGGCGGGTGGGGGATGTTAGTCTGTGTTCCCGACCGTGGCGGACGCACGCGCGCTTCTTGGCTAAAACTGGGACTGTTTTATTTATTTAAT